GTGTGGGTCATGATTGAAATTTGTAATGTGATTTGACAATTCAATAACGTTTTTGTAGCTTTCACTGACAATACTTATTAAAGATAATTTTATGTCGTGAAAACTGTCCATATTTTGATGTCATGATATGTAAATTAAAAATTGTTATTTTACGGTGATAATCTTGTTTTCTTGTGCCCAGTAATGCATAATTTCATTTGATAAACACGTTTAGATTGAATGGTAATTTATAATCAGTCACAAGAACGTCGAATCTGAATCACTTGAAAAAAACACGGGGGTGCTTAACTTTTTTCCAGGTGTATAGTTTGTGATCTATCATACCTACAGACGTATATGTACATATAAATTGGTTTATTTAAAAACATACTTTTCTTGCAAATGCAAAACAATCGAAATATTGTAACATTTACTTTGAAAACGATCTCTCAGTTGTAAACGCGTAACTGGAAAAATCATAACCTTTGTGGTTAATGTTTCCAGTGTTACGTATTACAATTTATTCCGGACGAACCTCCAATATATTACGTAACGTACTATAATTTCGAATAGCCTGAAACTGAGTTAAATGATAATTTGAATTTAGAAATTAAATAAATGTCTATTAGTATCCAATTTATGAACTTGCCAACAAGATTGATACACACATTTTGTTTTTTAATACAAATATATTTTAATATACAAACAATAACACAATTTACAATAACAGTTATCACAAATAATGATCTATGTACAAAAGTTTTATAAACTTACAAACAATATTTAGTCCTTTATCTGGTCTGAAACTTCCTTGATATCTTATCGAGGGTTCACGATGAGTGAATTCATTTTGAGGAGATGTAGATACAATTCACTTAACAGGGAGCTAGCAAGTTCGGTATTCTTCATTCTTCGCTGGCCACATGCCGAGTTGTCCATCAATGAAATTATATAATGTTTTCGTAAAAATACAAATGTCCGATGTGAATCTACTGAAGTCAAATGGTTTTTAATATTCGAAATCTATAAACGTTCCTGGTAAAATATCTGAAGTTCCCGATTAATAAGCGTTATAACAATCACAGTTATAGCTTCCGAATTTTATAGCAAACCAATAACATATTCTGTCTTTTGGCGTGTCGCGTCAGTTATATTTATAGGCGTGAGGAGTGTTTCTCGAAATTTTAGCTTACGCAACTATATGAACGGAACACCAATGTTTACTTACACACATATATTGTTGATTCTTACACTCGAGAATTTTCTACAATTTTAGTGAATAGGTGGGAATTATGCAACACAGACTTAACAGTAAAAGTTATGTACATTTCTAAATATGCCCCCCAGTGGCACAGCGGTATGTCTGCGGACTTACAACGCTAGAAACCGGGTTTCGATACCCGTGGTGGGCAGAGCACAGATAGCCCTTGTGTAGCTTTGTGCATAATTAAAAACAAAACAAACAAACAATTTCTAAATATAATTTAACTTAAACAAACATCGATATTAAAATAGATATATGATAGAAAATCCGTCATACCAGGTACAAAGCAAAGTAAATGTTATTAAGGAGGTAAAAATCTCATTACAATATACCGAAGCATTTCCTTTACCTTTCACCGAACTGTTATGATTCTATTAGTTTATGTACAATCCTCCAACTGTGATGAAACTATAATTCTTATATACGTATATGTACTTATGTATCTTACCTTTTTCCTATTTTTGGTTTTTAAACTAACTATTTTGTGTTGTGTAAATGTTCCATTGTATATAAAATAAAGCATAAACCAAGGGCGTACATGTATAACAAATTTAATTTATTTACTAAACTGAAAATATGGAGGAAATAGTAATACACTACACTTTAGCATTCTGGCCTGAGAATCCAAGGGTCCTGTTTCGCGTCCCATTGCCTCAAAATCGCGCCCAGCACTATGGGGCCATGAGTGCGTTTACAAGATTGACAGTCAAATCCCATTTTTCAATTAGATTATTTCAAGATAGGTGCTATTGACTAGCTGCCATTCGTCTGCCCCCCCCCCCAGTGGCACAGTGGTATGTCTGCGGACTTACAGCGCTAGAAACCGGGTTTCGATACCCGTGGTAGGCAGAACACAGATAGCCCATTGTGTAGCTTTGCGCTTAACTTCAAAACAAACAAACAAGCCTTCGTCTAGTTTATCAGATAAAAATCAGCACAGAACGCGCTTGTTCAAAACAAACTACAAAAAATGTTTTTAGTACAAAATTCACGTAATTGAAGGAAATACAAAAATATACATTTACGCCCGATTCTGATTTGTGTCGTTCAAAGTTTATCAGTAACTATACTTCGTAAAATATGTAATTCACTTTTGAAAAAGAAGTTGAAAACGTTATTAAAGGTCGAAAAACAATTTTATTTCTTAAAACAATTTTATTTCTTAAAACCCAGTGTTATCAAGCCAAACAAGTTTCACCAAACATTTAAAAAAACGCTAGAGGTAATCAGAAATGTGTACCGTAAAGAATCCGACTTACTACCGTGAAGCTGGAAATCGGCACTCAAGTTGTTTGCAAAATCATCAACAAAACTCTCGATCTGCAGTTGACACACGCCCTCAACGCTACGGTTACTGGCAAACCAAGCATGTCGACAAATTTCATCTAACTGTTCCCAACAGGATTTCGGTTAGGTACGTTTCTTTTTAAGCGGAAATATTTCGAAAATGCCCTGTCGTGGTACGTTGGTCTGAGTTTGACGTTGTGGTGAACTCAAACATAAAACAAGTTGAAAAGAAAATCGTATTACGGAGAAAAATAGAAATACGCTAACTATCTATAGGATGCATCAATATACATTCTGGAAGTGTCAGGTCCGTTTCGTCATGTAGCTGTGTGTTATAGTACTTTCTAAGAGGTTTCTTCTTACATAAGCGTTGTAACTGCAAGTCGGAAGTTTTGTAGTTTTAATTGACAAGTCAGAATTTACGGGAAGAATAACGATAGACCATGATAAAGTATAATGAACATTGTAGCAAATCCAATATATATATATAGAAATAAACTGGTTTACTTCGAAGATGGGGATGTTAAGAAAACGAGTTTAACAAAAGTAAAGAGAGTTTTATAGAAGAGAGAATTAGAGATGTCAAAAGAATTCGTGAACTGAAAGTATGTTTGTGCATAAGTAGCGTTATAATTCTCAGAGCATGTCAAAATCTTGAAGATGTGTTAGCTCCATGTAAACAAGTAAGACTAGCTGTAATTGATGTGTTAGCTCCAAGTAAACAAGTAAGACTAGCTGTAATTGATTTGTTAGCTCCATGTAAACAAGTAAGACTAGCTGTAATTAATTTGTTAGCTCCATGTAAACAAGTAATGCTAGCTGTAATTGTAATTATTTCGGATACATAGTCTAGTCTGTGTTAATATCTGATTAAAGGAGACTTTCAAACAAGCATGCTCGTTGTTGAACT